GTGAACAGCATGGAAGCAAGCCCAAGCATTTCACCATCTTTCATATCACTTTCCTCCCCATCTCCCTTCAGCTTTGGTGCTTTGCTATAAGGAAGTACTGAGGAAGGCTGTATAACATCACTTTTCCTAAGATTAGTCCCCAGGTGATTTTTTTTTCTTTCATTTTGCACATATAAAATTTACTATGACAATAAATTGATAGTGGTAATAAGCTCCCCAATTTACTGGTGAATTCATGTATTAAAATGGATGAGAAATACAGCGTCTGTACTTCTGAATTGTAGCTTAGTAGCAAGGTTGCTAGAAACTGTAGATCCCTTTTCCACAGAGGTGGGGACCCCTCCTACTGGCTTAATTCATGCAGAGGTTACTGGGCTTCTCATAAAGCTTTGTGGGCTTCCAAGTGATGCATCATTCAGATTCATTTCTTGCTCAGGTTAATAAACAGTTGATTCATGTCATTCTTCCTGGCTACAAGCTAGTTGCAGTGACTCTAAATACTGGACTGTCAAGGTGAAAGGGAGGCGATTGTGGACAATAAAATGGCTGCAGAGGAGTTCAATTACTTGTTAGCATCAATCTTCACTCTAAAACTGTGCTCATATTGTAACTGGAAAAGGTTTTGGTGACAGGGTGAGAAGAGATGTGTGGGAGGGAATCCCTTCCTTACCTGGGTTTTGATTTCTGATCTACTCCTACAAGCAAAGCTCAGTGCCTGTAAGCCAGAGTATTTCAGACATAATGTCTCCCCTGCAAATGCATTGTATCAAAGCAACTAACAGACTGTCCTGACACTGGGTGTTTAGATAATCTGGGATCCCATTTTCTGGCTTTTTTCTTTCTTTGCTCATGCTTTGCCTACGGAAGAATTAGTGAGGAGAGGACAACACAGAAACTGAAAGGAAGCCAAAGTCAATATGGCAGAGGAACAAATGGAGATTGTAAGGCTCCAGTTCTGTTAGAAGCACATTATGGGCACGTCGCCATAACCATCTGGTGAAAAGGAAGAATGATGCAGTTAAAATGTAGTTTTTGTATTTTGTGGCTGGGATCATTTAGCTTTCTTCAGTTCACTTTGTTCTCCTTGCAAGTACATTGAGAGTCCCAAGAAATGAGTGAAAGCACCTTCCAATCTTCAGAGTACAGTGACATTCAGTGTTTCATCGATGATAAATAAATTTGTCACCAATCAAGGATTTTCCAGCGTAGTGCGTGACTTATGAGAGCAGTTATAAAGGATCATGGATTTGGGGTACCAACCTGGAGCTGATCATTACAAGTGAAGAGTCAAAGAAGATTGGTTGCAAATAACTTAAGGTCTATTGCCAAATCCTTATAAATAATCAATACATTTAAAGAAAATCAGATGGTTCCAAACATTCTGATAACCAAAAAGGGTTTTATTCATAATAAATACTATTTATGATGAATAATTTGATCAGGGAGGACTGGAGAGAGGCCAATGTATCCATCTATTTAATAGAAACTAAGCGTGATCCAAGGAATCATAGACTTCTCAGTTTTATTTCAGTTGCTGAAAGGAAAACTGAGAAATTAGTTTTATAATGGGTAATAAAGCACCAGTATAAGTTAGAAGTAACAAATTTCTGTGGTTTTTAAGGGTAAAATTCTGCATGCTTTCATTTACATTTTCTAAAGTAGAGTAAAAAATTGTTCCTTTCACTGTCTTTTCTGTTTTGACTAAGGTTGTGAACAAATGGATGAGGACTTTGCCTTGGTGTAGACAGTTTGCATGTTGCGGTCTAATCTTTGCTGATGTTTTTGAATGCTGCTGTACCTCAATACAAATAATAAGTTATGTCTCTATTGTTAATAACCCCCCAATCTAATCTTTAGAAAGAGTAACAGCACAGCAGATAAAGGAGGACTGGTAAAAATTATTAATTTAGATTTTCAAGATGTTTTAGAAAAAGCTCCTTATGAGGAGGAGCTATTAAAGAAATTTGGTGACAATAGAGGGAGAAGGAAGGTACAGACATGGCTTCAGTATGGTAAAGAGGAGGGCTAAGAGTTCAATTCTCAGCATGGGAAGAGGTTAATAACAAGGTCCACCCTGAATCAGGTTAGTGAACACTACTGAGGAATGAAAGCTACTCCATAAGGGCCAAATAAACCTGAAAAAATGCCAGTATGAATTTCAGTACAGCCAAGCACAAGGCAATGGTTCTCAAAAGGGCTGATTTAAATGCCTTGTACTCAGTGATGATTTCTGCATTCATTTTAACCTAGACCTCAGGGCATCGTTGTCAACATCTGAAAGAAGGGATTTGCTCAGTACACAGTGGAGGCTTTCAGCAGTGGAAGGACCATTCAGCTGAGTTGAGAAAAGGATGGAGGAAGCTGTGGCTAATAGTAATGATGTGGCTAATAATAATCAGATGAACTACTGTTTCATCTTTACCACCTGCTGTATTCAGTCCTCTGTTGAGAAGGGGAATGACAGTGCAAATAGGAAAAAAATGAGAGAGGAGCAGCATGTGGTTCATCTGTACAGCAAGAAAGGAAAGTGATGGGGCTTAATCCTTGTGGAAAGATGAGTAAGTTAGGTCTGACGAATTTAGCAGGGTTAATACTCACATGGAAGAGCTCGTTTGCCACTCCTTTGTTTTGCTTTTGGCCTTTTAATCCTTTTCATGAAGCAGTAAGTACAGAGAAATGTGCAGAAAATTAAGGACAGCTGGTTTCAGAAGGGAGAAGTTCTCAGAGGCTGTATGACAGCAACTTTCAGTTTGTGGACCATGGTGAATACAGTATTTCTTGGAGGCAGATGCAAATTTTTGTAATTTATGCTTATATATTTAATTAAAATGTACAAATATATAAATATTTATAGTAAGTATTTAGGTAAGTATTGTTGAATACTCAAGATGTGGACTAATGTAGACCAGGGAATGGGAAGGTATATAAATGTGCAAATGTTACCCTGTTCACAAAAGCTGCTACATGTAAAAGCCCTTGTGCACAGCTAGTATCACAGCATGGGTCTCCTCCTTCCAAACTGCAGATGGCTGAGATCTGATGGTAGTTTTGAACTGTAGTACAGGCTTCCTAGATGTGGACCCAGGGCATAGTATACAAAGATACGAAGATAATCAGGGCACTGGAGCTCCTCCCCTACAAAGACAGGCTGAGGGAGCTGGGCTTGTTCAGCTTGGAGAAAAGAAGGCTGCAGGGTGACCTCATTGCAGCCTTTCAGTACCTAGAGGAAACCTACAAACAGGAGGGGAATCAACTCTTTGAAAGGGTTGATAACTGCAGGACAAGGGGAAATGGTTTTAAGTTGATGGAAGGGAGATTGAAGTTGGATGTCAGGAGGAAGTTCTTTAAAGAGAGAGTGGTGAGGTGCTGGAACAGGCTGCCCAGAGAGGTTGTGGATGCCCCGTCCCTGGAGGTGTTCATGGGCAGACTGGATGGGGCCCTGGGCAGCCTGGTCTGGTATTGAATGTTGAGGTTGGTGGTCCTGCATGTGGCAGGGGGTTGGAGCTTCATGATCCTTGAGGTCCCTTCCAACCCGAGCCATTCTGTGATTCTGTGATTCTGTGAAATCATAGAATCATAGAATCCTTAGAGTTGGAAGGGACCTTTAAAGGTCATGTAGTCTAGCTCCCCTGCCATGAACAGGGACGTCCACAGCTAGATCAGGTTGCTCAGAGCTTGGCCCAGCCTGACCTTGAGTGTCTCCAGGGATAGGGCTTCCACCGCGTCCCTGGGTAATCTGTTCCAGTGCCTCACCACCCTCACTGTAAAACATTTTTTCCTTATATCTAACCTATTAACATTCACTGATAATGTCTGTCAGTCTTTAAACAAAAAGCAACAAATAAAACTCTAACCAAGATTCTCTGTAGTGCTTAATGAATCGTAGAATCATAGAATCCTTCGAATTGGGTAGTCAACTCATCAAATCCATATCTTTCCAGTTTGAAGAGAAGGATGTTGTGGGGTGCCATTCCAGAAGCGTCTCTGAAGTCCAGATAGATGACATCAGTGGCTCTCTCTTGTTCAGTGGTGCAGTTACAATATCATAGAAGGCCACTAGGCTGCTGGTTTACTTCTGTCACCTTCCTGTCTTCCATGTGCATTAGCAGAAGATCTACTCCATGATCTTTCCCAGCACAGAAGTGAGACTGACAGGTCGGTAGTTACCCTGGGTCATCCTTTTTACCCTTCTTAAAAATGGGTGTGGTTTTGCCTTTTTTCCAGTCACCAGAGACTTCATCAGAAAATCATTTGAACAGTGGTGTTTTTTCTTTGCCTATTTATGGCTGCAGCTGGGAGAAATCCAGCAGTCCTGATTCAGGCTCACGCTCAGTTTCTGAGCTCATTTGGATCCCAGTGATAAAATTTGTGCTGTTTGATTCAACCCAGCTCTCAGACAACTAAGTGGCAGATCTGTTCTGCTGAAGAGGTGCAAAGGGAAATCTACCCAAAGGTGAAGAGTGCTTAACTTTGGCAGTGTTAAGGATTTTGTAATATCTCTACAATATGTTTATCACAGGTTTTATTTTCTCCTTATTATAAGTCACCCGTGCAGATGTTCTGTTTGATTTGAAAAGCTTGATCTTTCTGCACCGCCCTTTTATTTTTTGCTCCTGCCAATGTTGATTACAAAAGCACAAATGGTTTCCTTGGAGCTGCAACGAGGAAAGACGAAGAGAGTTTAATGGATATCATCAGGGCAGAAAATGCAGAAGGACTGTCAAGGAAAAACAAAGATGTTTGTGGCTCTGGAGGTGACGTGATAACTGCACATTCAAAATTCCTCCTCACACCGATGTGCCTTGCTGCATGTAAAGCCATCATTTCATGATAATCCCCACTGCTGTGCTCATGGGACAAGACTATGAACGCTCAGTCCCAAATCAGAAAGAAAGCAGAATTATATTCAGCAGTTTCTGGCACTTTTATTCATATTTTTCCTGTAATATCTCCTGGCCACACGGTGCAGGAGTTGTTTTACCAACTCACTTTTGGAAAATCAGAAATAGAATCATAGAATCATAGAATCATAGAATCACCAAGGTTGGAAAAGACCTAAAAGATCACCCAGTCCAACCGTTCACCTATTCCCAATAGCTCCCACTAAACCATGTCCCTCAACACAACATCCAGCCTTTCCTTGAACACCCCCAGGGTCGGTGACTCCACCACCTCCCTGGGCAGTCCGTTCCAGTGCCTGACCATCCTTTCTGAAAAGTAATACTTCCTAATGTCCAGCTTGAATCTCCCCTGCTGTAGATTGAACCAGATTCCCTCTGGTCCTATCACTAATGACACGAGAGAAGAGGCCGACCCCCAGCTCACTACAACCTCCCTTCAGGAAGGTATAGAGAGCAATGAGGTCTTCCCTGAGCCTCCTCTTCTCCAGGCTGAACATTATAGAATATATAGAATTATAGAAATAAGAAAGCATGGAATTCAGAACAGAAATTCTTTATCTCAATCAGGAATATACTTCACCAGGAACTGAGAGCTTATTGGCTGCATTCAGTGTCCAACTACCAGAAGTCCATTGCCGAAGATTCAGAGTTTCCTGCTCTTATAGCATGGCTGCACTGAATATGTAACACAAGCAGCTGATTTTGGTTTTAACATGTTTTCAAGGCTGTTTCACAGGCAGCATTGAGATCCCTATATATATTAATGCTTAGTGTCACTGTAGAGTTCATTCTGTCATGAAGATCATACAGGGAGAGCACTGCTTCAGTACAGACCCAGGAGTATGAGTTTGAGTTTCCCTTTATGTCCTTATTTGCAGTTAAGCATGTTTCAGGGTGGTGTGAGGAAAAAGTCCGTAATCTGAAGAGCTAATTATACAGATAGACAGCATTCAAAGGCGAAGTGAGCAAGTATATCTCTGAACTTCAGCCAAGTGGGGAAACTTGCTGCCTTTCCTGGGCTGTCCAGTGTTGGTCAGATATTAGTTGCAGTGCTTAGGTGACTGGATCTCACAGCCTTTGATTAATATAACATAGGAAAGTGGTAGCTGGGTAAAAATATAATTTCATGGTGCTTAAAGGGACTCTTGTGGATTCTGTGCCTGTGTCTGCTGTCTTCCTTCTGAGGAAGGTCTTGAGAAAGAGGAACTATGCAAATTTAATGGGATAAGTTGATTGGTAGTAATTGTCTGAGTGTCATGCAAGACCCAAAGTGGCTCCATAGAATGGAAAAGACACCCTATTTGCAGGAGTCATGCATTAAGTAAAGTATGGAGGCCTAGGAATGCAGAAGGCAAACTGATATGGACAAATTCTTCTTGTTTCATCCTCTAACATTCTTTCTGTATGTGCTCTTTTAACAAAGAAACTGTTCTACAAATATTTTAGACAGCTGTAATATATTAAAATTAGATTTAGATTAGTATCCTCCCACTTGGAAATTGAGGTGCTTTACTTACTGTGAGTTGAGCTCTCTGGAGCTTGGAAGCAACCATAAAGCTTCTGTGAAAAACCTTAAGTAGCTGTTCTGCACGTATAAATGCTTCTCCTTTGAAATCAACGACCTCATTTGAGAACGAGTGATATGTGCTGCTGTGCACAGCTCTTCTTCCCTGGGCATGAATTGCCCTATTCTTCTGCTGCAGAGGATGAACCAGGGCACAGAGTGGCAGTTGTGTACTACATACTTCTGTCTGGTTGAATTTCCCTTCTCATTTTTATGGAAGGTGCAACTGGGCAGGGGAGAATCTTGAAGGGCTAATCTTGAAGAAGAAGGAAGGAAGAGGTATACAGAAGAACTTTTAAACAGAAATCAGTGTTAGTCATTTGGAGGAGATAAGATGGTTGAGGGGTAACATCACAATGTTCTTGTGATCATCAGTGTTATCATAATTATCATAATAATCCTGCCAGAGTACTGTAATTAAGCTTGTGAATGCTTAGAAACTGTACAGCTTATGTGGTCATGGCTCTAAGTTTCCCTTAATCCACATGGCAGCACATTGGACAGAGCAGCTCCTCCTCAGCAGCATCTCGAGTCCCTGGGTCAGTACTGCTTCCAGGGAAGGACTGCAAATGAAGGGGCTATTGCTTAGTGTCCGTTTCTTTTGGCTTAGTATTGGGAGGCTAGATGTAGAAAGCTCCCAGCTTGGAGGAAAAAAGCAAAAAAGACAAATGGAAAAGGATCATTGGATTTTTCTGTCAGCCTGAGGAGTTGAGTAGTTGGAGTGTGGAGTTAATTCTGACAAGGAGGCCTAACCCAGTGGTCTTTGAAATCAATGGGAAACCTTTATCTGGCTTCAGGGTCTCTTCATTCTGAACAAGGAGGAGATTTTGGAAAAGGGAAACAAAACAATCACAAGTCTTAGACCTGAGGAGTGCTCATGTGGCCTGGGCTATACACAGGCAGAATTATCTATGTCTTTTTTTTTTTTTTTTAACAAATAATATGTCTGGGGGAATTGGATAGAGATGTCTGCAAAGGTTAAGGATAAAAGGCTTAGATCTTCCTGTTCCATTCTTCACCAAACCTGAGTTTAGAAGCACTGTAAAGTAGTTCAAGGATTGGAGGTACCAGCTGGAGTTCTACAAGGAGATGGTTTGTATAGTTGGCTAAATGAAATCCAATTAATAACTTCCTAATTAAGCAACTGCAAAAATTTGTTGGAGAGTGTATAGGAGGGATTATACCCAAGATGGCAGTAAATTGAGGATAGACAAATTGTCTTGGAATCTTAAACCTTTCTGGTTGTCTGTGAATATAGCAGCCATCTCCTCCAATAATTAGAGCAAGACAGTCATCCTATAGATAAGGTAGGAAACCAGAGCAAAACATGATGTAACAAGAGTGTTGCTTTGCATACGTGCACCTGAGCAATGCCCAGTTACTTTGATGATGGGCACCAAGTAAGGTTCTCTTATGCATTCCTTACCAATCTGTAATTCAGAGAGTAGTCTGAGAGATAGAAGTGAGCTCTGAACACAGGGGACCCAAACTCTCCAGCTAGAGTCTTTCGTGAGGCATGGCCAGACATCAGCTTATAAGCTTACAGGCACAAGAGTAAATACCCTGAATTTTAAATTTAACAAGGTGCATCAGCTATTTAAACATGTGTCTGCTTTTAAGCAGCCAAATCCACTATGTAGGTGCTATTAATATCCTAGAACAGCCAGTGAACTGAGGGGAGACCCACAGTCATCAAGTTGCAGAAGGCATCTTTGGAAGTTGTCACTCCAGTCGCCTGCTCAGACAAGGGTAAGCTGCAGCAGAAAATGAGCAGGGGAGGGAGTAACTGTACTCATCAAGTGTCCCAACTTGATGCTTTGATGGCAAGACCATGTTTTCTAGCCAGGCTCAGATATGGTTCCCTTCTCTGACTTTTTTTTCCTTGCTTAATGAAAACCTGATTGGACTGATTATCAGAGGTGGGGAGTTTGATGAGTCACTGTCTTGCAGAGCAATGCAGTTTTGTGTGAAGAGCTGCCCCAATCTGCCTACCTATCTCTGGTGAAGATTTATTTATGGCGCTCTCTGAAGTGATACTGTAATATCCTTTTCTAGCCCACATTCCCTCTGGTGTCTGTTCACTACAATATTTCTTTTTTTTTCTTTTTCATTGTGTTAAATAAGATTATAACGCATTGAAGTTGAAGGGAGCAGGATATTGTTAGGATTTTTATCATCAAATTACTACTTTAAGCAAGCTGTAAGTCTCTGATCAATCATTTAGAGCACAATGTACTGGTCCTGGCCTTGACGTCCTCTCTCCTCCCAAAGCCCCAGCAAGATTTAGTAAGAATCTAAGGGTTACCTAAGGTAAAGGTAGAAAACATATTGGTATGAATAGCTGCTACTTGTACTGGCTCCTTCACTCACAGAGAAAGTTCAGAGGTGATAGATTTGTTTCTCCTGCTTGCTAAGTTGTGCTTTACTGAAGTACTCCTCTACCAGGTGGCTATTTGCAGTCTATGCCCATTTTGACAATAAGAGGAGCTCCTCTCCTGAGTCCTCTTCAGACCTGAGAGGCATCAGATGTTTGCAGGCAAACATGAGCACTTGCAGCACATGCTGAAGTTCTTCACCTCGAGTCCATGCAGCCTTGTTTCCACCAGTGAGTGTAAGCACCTACCTGAAGGACAAGAGCACCCGAGGTTTTGCCTCAGCGGTCCAGGTCAGAGCTGTTTTCTCTGTTTTTAATGCAGCATGAGAAAAGGGATCCACAGAAGATGTCTGTGACAGGCAGAGCTTGCTGACTGCCAGCTTGATCTGTTGCAGACACAAAGATGCTCAAGTCACATTTAATTCTAATATAAAAATAGGATGCATTTAGAGGCAAATCCATTGTGCTTCCTGGCAGGGGATTTGTTTTGCCCTCCATGCTGAGAAGTGTAGACTGCTATGTGCAAGTGATAATGTGGTAGTTTCCATGTCTCAAAAGAATGTCATCGTTTTCCTTTCTACAGCAGACTGGTGGATGCATGATGGTGATGTTCCTCTCAACATCTGAAACCCAAGTTTGGACTTACTTTGACTCATATTGTCCCTCAGTACATTCAGTATCTTCAGTAACTCAGAGGGCAGCAGTGAAATAGTTAACAAGAAGGGACCACAGGGAGATAAATGAGATGAAACAGGATTATCCAGGCTAAGTTGTTTCAGTTTGCTGCAGAGGGATGAGTCACTGGTGATGGTGGCTAATGTAGACCGTGAGAGATGCATGTCTTCTTTTCTGAGTGAGCTTTTCGATGGACAAAATGGTTTATATGTGAACTCATATGAAACGATGCAATGAGGACAGTAAAGTGCATATGCTAAACTGAACAGCTTTGTAGCGGACCACATGGTGAAAGGGCTGATAGGTTATTTATTTTAGATTACAGGGGAAGAAATCATGCTCATCAGGGGCTAGGGAAATTAAATGTTATTCTCCTGTCTCTGTAGGTGTTGAAGTGATTCTCTTGAAGCATGATTTAGCTCTTACCTCTTTTGATCATCATGCAAAGCAGGCTATTGCTCAGTGGATGAGGCCAAGTTTTGGGAGTTCTAGCTGACTAATTTTGAGGGCAGAGATAACATATTTGGTTATGAATTTTAGAGTAAAAAAATGTTTTCTGCTAGATAAAGAAAAAAGACATTCCTGACAGGTAATATATCAATTACCCACTATGGAAGAGTTTTTATGTGAAGAGAGCTCCTCTTTGAACCATTGTATAATGGTGCTGCTAGAAGCATAATGCTGAAGAAGATCTACCATTTTCTTTGTGTGTGATTGGTACAAAATTGAGATTGTTTTAAGTTTCAGGCTAGATTGCCCTACTTCCTATAAGACTTAATGTTATTTCTGTGTCTTGTAATTCCACACCAGTAGAATACTGTCTTCACAACAAACATGTCACAACATTGATCAAAGTCCTAAAATCCCATTCTGAGAATATGTCAGCTAATGGAGTTGTAGTCATATGCTTAGTATCCAGCCATTGATGCTGCTTTCCAAATCCTTCTTAGATATTTAAGCCTGGTTATGGTGAAGGATCTGCACAGAGAGCTAGTGCCCTTGGTGACTGCTTTGATTGGTCCACTAGACATGTCTCTCCTTGGAAACAGTCATCATCAACAGGCTCATCTGCCAACACTTTTGAAGACCCATTATTTCTGAGACCTGTATTTCTTAAGTGGGTGTTCATTCTAAGCATCTCATGCTTTATCACCTACCAAAATCCAGATGTAAAAGAACTTGGTACACGCCTATAAGCTCTGTGGGCCATTGCTATACAAATGATTAATAGTGATAGTGTGTATGCCATGGCTTCTGTGGATGTTAATACCAATATCTGGCAGGTTTTGGCAAATTGCCTGATGGCCATCCTGCATGTGTTACGTAATGCAGATAAGGGCTGGCAAGTAGCTAAGAAGGTAGAGCTGGAAAGAGCGACTGTTGCTTTTTCATTGGCAGAACAGGCAACAAATCCAAATCTATCCTATGGTAACAGCTAAGATTTTTCTTGAGTCTGTGTGCAAGACTGATCGCTTTTTACTAGAGGGACATTTCTACTAGAAACAATCCTGTGGCTGGCCAATGAGGTTCATTGCATTTTGCTTATAAAAATATTTGTTATATCTATACAAGTACTAAGGACCCGGGTCTGTTCCTACCAATGGCTGTGAGTTTACCAACCAAAGAGCACTCAGCATTACAAAGTGATTCAGGAATTCATAGAATCATAGAATCATAGAATCACCAAGGTTGGAAAAGACCTAAAAGATCACCCAGTCCAACCGTTCACCTATTCCCAATAGCTCCTACTAAACCATGTCCCTCAACACAACATCCAGTCTTTCCTTGAACACCCCAGGGTCGGTGACTCCACCACCTCCCTGGGCAGTCCATTCCAGTGCCTGACCACCCTTTCTGAAAAGTAATACTTCCTAATGTCCAGCCTGAATCTCCCCTGCCGTAGCTTGAAACCATTCCCCCTGGTCCTATCACTAATGACACGAGAGAAGAGGCCGACCCCCAGCTCACTACAACCTCCCTTCAGGAATTCAGGACAAGATCAGCAGTCCTTGCTGGGAGCAGTCTTGGCATCACAAACAAGGCATTTAAATGCAAGCTGAATAGATGGGACATATTGCTTTATGCAAGAGACAATCTTATGGAGTTGGAACATGGGCAAAAAGCAAGCTAACCAGTTTAGGAAACAATTAGGCTGTGGCTGAGCAGAAGGATAGTCTTGTACTTTAATTACCAGCAGAGCTGTTGGATTGGGGTTTTGCTCCTAACTCGGCTGCAGGCTCACAGCCTCCTTCATTTGCTATTGATGCTGCCTTCAGCACATCCTCATTTCTGCTTCAGAGCTGCTGAAATACAGAGGTGGTCATATATGGAGTGAAATGTTTTGCTGAAGACTGTAAGCTTACAGCAGTAATGGTTGGGTCTTGGTTGAGAGAGAAATGCTGGCAGCAACTTTGGTTAGTACTGTATAGCTATATGTGTATATATATGTGTATGTATACATATGTGTTTATATGCTCTGTGTGTATGTGTATGTGTAGCTGTAAAGGCATCATTCTTGCCTCTGCCTGTCACTTGGCATGCTCTCTAGGAGATGGTGGGGAGATAAGAGTATAGCTGTACCCATGTCTTCTCTACTCTGACGTCTTCTGTTGGCCATGGAGAACAGTAAGACTTCCAGCAAGATAAAACAAGAGCTGATCTTGACCACCCATCAAAATATGCCCAATATCCCTTGCCAGACATTTCTCCATGATACAACCAAGAAAATAGGAAGCTAACCAACTTCACTTCATGCCAGGTGCCTCCAACACAGCAGCATCAGCCACAGTATGCCATAGGCATGCTGTGCCCCAACTTAGACCTTTTTCTACCCTGTCTTACTGTACCCTAAATCAGACTTTGTCCTCTGTTGGTTTGGAACTCCTTGCTCAGATGGGATGAGAGGATCAGACTGCCAGGAGACAGTGTGAAAGGCTCCACTAACCAAGATAGCTTTGTTTCATGTATTCAGGAGCAAAGCTGAATATGACATCATCAGAGCTGAAACACAAGACAATGCGAGGACCACTATCTCTAATCTATCAGTCATCCAGAGCTCTAGTGATGATGAGGAATGGCAAATGATGTACCAACAGAGAGAAGGACCGAGCATGCATGTCCTGCTCTATGTTAGCAGTGCAGTTATTTCCTGCTAGCTCCTGCTCCCACAAACACACCAGAGAAGATCTGCTGAATAGGCTGAGGAAGCTGTTTCAATGCAAAAGTCAGTGAAATAGCAATTCTGGCAAAGAACAAGTTTTCTGGAAATGATTTGCCAAAAATTTGACCACTGTCTGGGTAAAGAAACCTGCAGATTCCAGTATAATGTTTGCATCACCTGATGGATTTCTCTTGTGGGCATTGCTTTCTCCTTGTTTTGACAAATGCAGCAGAGAACATCCTGTGAAACCAAATTTGGCATCTCTTCCCATGCACCTTTTCTGCATGGCCAGTGAGGCCACTGATCTTGCCACTTGATTACATCCAGAGATCAGAAAATGATAGTCATGTTTAAGTGGATTATGTAGTTTTGCTCAATGGCTTCATGTGGAGAATAGAACCTGGGAGCCAAGATTTCTAGTTCTCTGCACTTCCTGTTGGCAGTGGCTGAGTTCTTGCAGCATGTGAAGTTGCTGCCTGCTTTATCATTTGGTAGAAATGTTGGGCCTCCTTTTAATTCATCTTCCTAGGAGCCTGTCTTTGATCCCTTCCACAGAGCTGGGAACCTTCCCTGTTTATTCCTCACCTCTAGCACTTTCTTGTACTGAGGTGCCCAAAACTGAACACAGTGCTCGATGTGAGGCCTCACCAATGCTGACTACAGGGGCAGGATTATCTCCCTAGTCCTGCTCACCACACCATTCCTGATATAAGGTGCTGGAGCAGGTCCAAAGGAGGTCAACAAGGCTTGTGAAGAGCTTGGAGAATATGGCCTATGAGGAGAGACTGAAGGAACTGGGGCTGTTTAATCTGGGGAAAAGGAGTCTGAGGGGAGACTGTATTGCTCTCTGCCAATATCTGACACTGGGAAGGAAACAAGGAGGCTGGTGTTGCATCCTGTTGAGAAAAGAGATTCCCCCTTCTCGTGCCTCCAGTAAAAGCACATATTCAGACTTCATTGCACTGAAATAAAAAAGATATATAACCAGGAAATGCAGAAAAAGCACTGGGAAAGTAGTGTGAAATATTAGTGGAGGGTTAAATCTGGAGAGTTTATCCAAGGGATGAGTAAAAGGGGCTTTGCAACCAAGCTGCAAAAATGCAATGGATATAAAAACCAGGGAAAGAGGGGAATGATTTGGCTTAGTGAAAGGGCATAGCACTTAGCAATAATAAGGAGAAATTATGCAGTGTTAAAATCCAGGTTGAGTACACTATGAATTTGTGGTCAGATGTGTGAGTTTAGAAAATAACCACCCATGACGATGTATGGTAGTTGGCTGGTATTTTGTAACTAGGTAAGTGCACAAAAGGGGTAAAGGTGATTGGGCATCTGGAGAAAGGAACAGTGTACAAGGAGGTCTCTTGACTTATGAATGCATGTGAAGCTGTGTTGTGAGATATTTTGCCCATAAATAACATGAACAGAAGAGCCTGGGAAAATCCAGTGGGATGGTTGCCCAAGCTGCTGTCTCAAGGAGGACTCTAACAAGAAGAATCACAAATCATCAGACTTTTTTGGGAACATTTTTGTGTTTTCACATTTTGATGGACAGATAACAATTTACAGAGGCAGTAAAGAGCAGGTGTGGAAGACCAGGACTCTTTGTAGTCACTTAGCTGGTTTGCAGCTGGCCAGAAAAATGATCTTATGTCGTATAATGCAGTTTTTTCTCTGAAGCATATCACACATATCCCTTTTTCCATTTCCAATCAGTACTGGAACCTGCTGTACCAAACTGCTGCTGGGAAGCTATCTTTTGGAAGGAGTTAATCTCCAACTGAATCATACAAAAGATTGCACCTGTCAGACTTCAGTACAATTTTGGAGACATTTTAAAATGCCTTTTAAAAATATTTGAAGTTGTAGATGACCATCCAGACCTAGAAGAATAGATGTCTGAAGTCCTTTAAGCAATCACATTGGCAACATCATCCAGGGAACAGTCAGCTTTCTTTGACTTCTTATTTTTACTTTTTACTATACCCAGTGTGAAGGAGCTGCTGAAGGGGCTGATCAATAGCTAAGAAGTTAGTCTAGTGAAAAGTCAGCCTAAGCTGCAAACAAATGTCCAGAAAATAGGACCAAAGGTCCCTTTTGATTATCAGGCTCACAAGTGATAGTAAAAAATGACTAAGTACCACATCTCTAAACCTTTACAGACCAATAGGGCCATGCCCTTCCACTCCATCTGCCTTTGATATTGATTGATGACAAGGAAGGAGAAGTCATCTCTCTTTCTTAAGGTCTATGTTTGATCACAATAATCTCCAAATTGTTACCTGGAGACAGAGTGCCACCAAGTTCACAAGTGTACAAGAGAACTAGTGTGATGGTGGTGTGAAGGCAGGATTTGCTATAAATACAGTTGGCAGCCCAGGAACCTGCTGCAGTATGATAGTTGCTGCGAACATACCAAGGGTTTTATCAGCTACACAAGGTTAAGCTGAAGAAGGGCTATGTAATGGCTTCCAGGAATGCCTATGAAATAGGATGCAGTGCTTGCTACGTGCCTCGATCTGAATGTGACTGTATCTGACACCCTCTGCTTACAGACTTTCCAGGAGCAAATATCCTAGGCATGCAAATAGCAAGATCTTCTTCCTGCCTGAGATGGGATTTTTTTTCTTAATTGGTTAATGCCAATTGCCTGTGCTTCCTGATAAGCTAAATAATTGCAGTTCGGATCATCTTCGTGGAAATTTCCATATGCCCCTTGTGGAGAAGCCAATAACCAGCTGTCAAGCAATGAACTTCAGCCCAAACACCCAAGGAGGATGGCTGCTAAATGGGTGTGAAGGGAGCAATGACTCCACAACCACATCTAGTTCCTACCCCCATGTGACAGGAGAGTTGTGGGGTTGCACGACTGCACTGTGGAATCATGTTACTGTCAGGTGGATGTCGCAGTAGTGCGAAAAATTCCCAGATAAAAATGTAGGAACTGCTGCTGGACTGCTCGTAGGTTCAGCCCAGATGAGGAGAGAGAGGATGCCTTTGTCATTGGTTCCCATCTTTTTTTCAACAGAGAAGTAGAATGAAGTGCTGTGATTAGCAGTGGTGAGTTGGTAGTCTTTCTTGGTGGCCAGCAGTCTGCAAGAGTGGTCTTGCCTCCTCTAGCACCAGCAGAATTGTCAAAAGTGATAGCTGGATGAGCCTGGCTTTCGTCATTTACCAGTTGTGAACCAACACATTTATTGCAGCTTTGCTCTTTCTTCTCTTGAAGTGTAAGCTAGTATCTTCTATGTCCCTTACGCTGCTCTAGGAGTGCAGAGATGGTGTCGTTGGAGTATTTAGAGTAGAAGTTTACAGTTATCTAATCTGCACTAATATCTGTCAGGATATATTCAGGAATGTAGAGATTTGTTTTGTTATTATTTTATTAAAAGTGCATTTTTTGGTAACAGGGATTCTTAGCCAATAATCAAATAAGAGAAGCTGCAGATCATTAGGAAAACAATAAAGGATCAGACTAATGACTCTTAGGGCCTCATTTGCTCTCCAGTTAATTAAACAGACAACACAGATGCTGCTGCTGTTAATAATATCATTCAATTACTGTGCAGCTAAGTATTATGGTCCCTAGGAAACCATTACCCAGTGCTGATTGAGAAGGGGAACTGTGAAGGGCTACTTAGGGGACAATAAACCATGTCTCTGTTGAAAAGGGGTCTGAAAGCAGTGTTTACTGAAGACACTAGGTGCTCTAACACAAGGAAGGGCAAGGTTGTTTGAAGTGATGGAAGAACTGGAGAGCAAATCCAAAAAGCTGTGCTCCTCCCCAAGGTATGCAAGTGAAGGTCAGAAAAGCTGG